CTGTTCTGAGTAAAAAACTGCGTCTTGATCATATCTCATTTATTTTTATTTTTTTTTTATTTTTAACATTTTATTAGGGGCTCATACAACTGTTATCCCAATCCATACACACATCAATTGTGTAAAGCGCATTTGTACATCGTTTCTCAAAACATTTTCTCTCCATTTAAACCCCCGACATTAGGTCCTCATTTTTCCCCTCCCTCCCCGCTCCCCCCTCCCGCATGAGCCCTTGATAGTTTATAAATGGGTATTTTGTCATATCTTGCCCTGTCCGACGTCTCCCTTCATCCACTTTTTGGTTGTCTGTCCCCCAGGGAGGAGGTCACACACAGTTCCATGTAATTGGTTCCCTCTTCCCTGCCCATTCTCCCTTTACCCTCCCTGTTTTGCCACTCACACCACTGGTCCTATAGGGCTCATCCGTCCTGGATTCCCTGTATTTTCAGTTCCTATCTGTACCAGTGTACCTCCTCTGGTCTAGCCAGTCTTGCAAGATAGAATTCGAGTCATGGTAGTGGGAGCGGGGAGGAAACCTTTAGGAACTAGAGGAAGGCTGTATTTCTCATCATTGTTACATCGCACCCTGACTGGCTCACGGGGAGGAGATGAGCCAGTCATATCTCATTTGAATGGTAACTTATTAACATCTCTAATAAACCCCGTTAGTCATGAGCATTGTCTGTGAGTTCTGAGTGGCAATTGCAACGTGAATTAGTGAACCCAGCTGAAAAGTAGAGCCGTGGAGGACATCGAGCACTATGGATGCACCACTCCATGTCCAGTATCTGCTGGCAAAAATGGGCCTAACCTCTGCTTGTTTTCAAGAATTGTCATAGAAACCTCTAACACAAAGTCTATAAAAAAGTAAAATAAAAAATTGTAGCACTAGAAATGGACAGTTTCACCTATGTGTCCCAAGGAAAACTGTTAGGCTGAAATGTTTTTATAAAGGAAACAAAACTTTGTGGAAACAATAAAATTAAATTTAATCATAAAACGACCTAAAAGCAATGGCACTGCAATAAAACCACTCTTAATGCTGAATTCTGGTTTTCAAATGAACGTTTCCCACTAGGTGGAATTAGAAGTCCTTGGAAAAATGGCAGATTCTGACTTTAGGACAGGGAAAATATGTAGTGAGAACTGGATATTTTTCTTACCAGAAAGCAAGAAACATTTAAAGATTACTAGGAACATTAAAAGCACACTGTAAACATAAAAATGGATATGGTATATAACCGAAAAGTACAATGAATAAAATTCTATACTTAAAAGAATGCCGACTTAAAAGAAGAAAATGAGTACCTGCTGGTAACTACCATACCATGTCCTTTCTCTGAAAATTGGAAACTAAAGGTACAGAATAAAAATTTCCTCCAGCTTTTAAAAGATTTTTATTTTATCTTCCTTGTACTTTTATATCATCACTCCCAGTCAGTAAATGTAAACTGAAGGACTGAACTAGAATCATCTCTTTTATAACTCCCCAAACAGTAACTGATTTTGACAAGCAATATCAATAGATGCTAAAAGCACTAGGTAAAAGGTTTCTGGGAAACAGGATACTCAGTGTAAAAATATTACTTGATAATTTCTATTTGAAAAACGTAAAAGCACACTTACACAGTAATTTGTCTGCCACCACTGTATATTTTAGAGGTGAAATGAGAGAACCTGACATGAGCTGTCCCTTGATGTGATGCAATATGAAAAACACAGCATCACCAATGAAGCTTTCTTCCCAAGCAGCTTTGAGAGCAGCTAATCATGCAGTAGACATAACTTCCGATGTAGAGGAAGTGTAGAGGCTACAAGAGTAAGTTAAAACTGCTACAGGTAAATAAAAGGAGAAATTCACAAGGCAGCATTTTTACCAAACCACCATCTTGGTTTCTTTAGAAAGGCAGTGGAAAAAAGTAGGTGGGGTTTTTCTACAGTAAAAGATGTTCATGAAAGGTAAAATATCTTAGATCCTGGTTTGAAAAGAGAAGAGTAAGAAGAAACAACTTTGAAGGGGCAATTTCTGGAGCAAATTGAATACAGATTTAATATTAATAATGTAATTGTAGAAATGCAGTTATATAAAATAATATCCTTATTTTTAGGTAGTGTATATTGAAGTATATGTCCTGATTTATACAATTTACCCTAAAATGATTTATATGGCTTCTACCATCAGATAGAGAAAACAAATAAGTTCAGATACTAACAATTATTAAACATAGGTGTTAGTTTTATCACTCTCCATTATATTAGTCTTTTGAGTTTTACATGCCCCAAAGAAAAAAAAAATCTCTAAAACCAAACCCTGTGAGCCATATGGAGATAAACACAGTGATTAAAAACAAGTTGGATGAAATTAAATGAATATCAGCAAAATCAAACTCACTGCTATAGCGTGCACTCTGGCTCACAGCAATGCTACAGAAGGAAGACCCACCCCTGTGGATGTCTGACCCTGTGCCAACCAACAGAAAGGCCCGTCTTTCTTCCATGGAATGGTTGTTGGTTTCAACAGGTAACCCACTATGACATCAGGGGGTCTAAAATTAATATAAAGGAGATTCCAGGCAGTACCATTCTTACTTGTACTTTTAAGTCAAATTTGTAAGTAAATCATGACAGGTGGATCCACTTCTCATTTAGTCTTTAGAGAAAGAAAAGGACTGAAGTCTTTCGATGACTTAAAAGCTGTACATGTAGCATGTAAAGGTGCTTGTGATGGAGGAGCTGCGAGTTGAGAGTGGTTCAGCTGTGTGAAAGTGAGGGTACTTAAAAAAAAATTAACTTCTGGAGGGAAATTTGTTGAAGATAAACCCTGTAATGCCCGAATTTTTAATTTCAGGGAAAATTTTTTTTTGTTTTTATTCTTTACTGTCATAGTTATCAATATAGATCTTAATACATACATTTAATTAAATGTTAGGAAAACATCGTGCTCGGCATTATAGGGCTAATAGACAGAGCAGACCAATTTTCTATTCAACAATGCTTACATATCTTGTTTTATCTCACTGAATGCAATCATTACAATATGACATCACTTCTCCCACTTCCTGTTTCCTGTTTCCATTTCTCCTTTTCCTAACTTTTATGAACATTGTTCTAGATAAATGCTGCCCTTTTGATCCTAAACATCGATTATTCTGCGTGCTTCCATAGTGTTTTTGTTTAGCTGAAACTTGATGCACAAGGATGAATGCATTTCCAGACCTGAAGGATGACTAGGGCCATAGTAACAGGACTTCCACCAGTCTCTACACAACAGGGCCTCCTTTTATCATACTTTTCAGAGCATTCTGCAGGGTCCACCCAGCACCATCTCTTTCTTCTGTTATCAGGGCTATGGAAAGTGATGTTTGCATAGGCCATTAGTCTACTGGACTAATTGTTTCCATTTATCTTTCAATTTTTGTCTCATTTTTTCTTCTCTAGACTAATAGCTGTACCTTAGAGGGCTGGTCACAAACGTTAAGACTTCATCACTACTCATCAAAGTAAGATGTAGAACACTGTCATGCTATTATGCCAGCTGTCCACCAAGAACGGTCTCGAGCATCTAAGCCTAATAACTTATTCTCTCAAGATTTTTTGTTGTGTTTAAAAAGTTTTCATCACTTTGTTCCCTGTATGCTTCACCATGTAACATTAAAAGGCAAGTACAAGTTCCCATAAGTTAGATCTTCGTAACCCAGGGACGATGCTGGAAAGAGTAAACAATGAAACGATATTACAAATAGTTCAATTAATGATACGAACAAGGAATCAGCAAACTACAGCTCATGGGCTATGTTCCACTGGCTTTTAAATGGCCTTTGAACATTTAGTATTTTTTAGCCTCATGTGGCTGTGAAAATTAGACACTGAATAAGGAAGACCGAAAAAGAATCAATGCCTATGAATGACAGTGATGGTGAAGAATACTGAAAGTACCATGGACCACCAAAGAACAAATACATCTGTCTTGGAAGAAGTACTGCCAGAACGCTCTTTAGAGACAAGACTGGTGAGGCCTCACCTCCCGTACGTTGGACCTGTTGTCAGAGACCAGTCCTTGGAGAAGAACAATAGACTTGGTAGAGGGGCAGTGGAAAAAGAGGCCCCTCAAGGAGGTGGATGGACACAGTGGCGGCAACAACGGGCTCAAGCCTAAGAAGAACTGTGGGGATGGCGCGGGACCAGGCAGTGTTTGTTCTGTTGTACCACCCGACGTTAAACCAACCTGATGACATCTAGTAAGAACAACAAAAGCAACAAAGCAAAAAAAAAAAAAAAAAGAATATAAGACAGGGACTGCATGTGCTATGCAAAGTCTGAAATACTGCTCTCGGTCCGCTTTGATGGACATCTTGTTGATTCCTGATCTAGGGGACAAATATGAGATTTTATTTCAAAAATGAAGAGGAAAGGGAGGAAAACATGAAACAAAGACAAATATGAATGACAACAAAGATCTACTCAACATAAAAGCAACTAAAATACATTTTGAAGAAAAGATTATAGATATAAAATTAAAGAAAAATTATTGCACATGTTAAGGCTGTATATGGCTACATTTACAAAACTGACAGCATGTAGAAACATTCTATTTTCAAGGAAAAATTCTTAACATATAATTCAGATTTCTACTCTAAAATAATAAAAAAACAAATGATCAAGAAGCAATTTCTACTCTGTTTTAAGGGAAAAATAAACTCTGACTAAAGACTGTGAGAGCAAGAACAATAAATATATTCAGGTATTAAATGCTGATAATATGTCCTACCTCAAAAATTATTTCAAAATGTTTACCAACTCATCAACGAATAGAATAAAATTTTAATTTTAAACAATAAAGTTATAGTATTAAAGGAATGATTGTAAACAGTGAAATTAATAAAGCAACTAAGAGTTATACAAGCAAATAGCTATATATGTAAACTTCTCACATTTGAGGTGTTACTTATGGGATGGCTTTGGGAGAAGTTCAATATATATTGATCTAGAAAAATACTCACCATGTGCCTTAATGCATTAGAAAGCAGTTTTCTCCCAGATGGCTTATCAAAATCAGCAATAATCCAGAAAGTCACTGTAGAAATTACGTTTTCATCTGAAAGTTTCAAATACTCTAGTCAAATTTAGTTTGCTTTAAAAACCAAACTAAAAGAATGAATATCTAAAGTTTACAGAACATTAAAAAAAATACTAAGTATCATATTGTGTTAGCCTGGGTAAACTAGGGAAATAAATGCACAGAAACTCCTATGTATAAGAAAGGGTTTCATATAAAGGCTAAGTGTACATTTAAGAAAGCATCCCAACCCAGTGCTACCCAAGCTCTGCCCAAGTCTGACATTAGCCCATAGGTCCAACACTGATCTACAAAGTCCTCCTCCATCTCACAAAACACACACAATGACACTCACTACAGGAGGAAAGCTGAATCAGTGAATGAGTAAGCATCTCAATTCTGGCATGGGTTTCCACACAGCTGTTCCAGCACCCAGGCCTGCATTGGGGTAGGTCCATGTGGCTTCTCCTCAGGGATGTCTGGCAGGGAGTGAACCTTGCCAGCAGAAGCAGGGAACTGGCTAAGGCAGCTGCACCCTGGTCAGACCATCAGAAAGCAAGAGACCCAAGAACTAGAAAGGCGAGGCTCACCGAGCTATTTATCCCTCCGTCCTTCAATTAACCCCATGTGTATTTATCGGCCAGGTTGGCACAATAAACCTTAACTATCTCACATATTAAAATTAATCTTCCTGGAAGCAAGCAAATACTGTTAAAAATCTTGAACTCATGTGTAACATGAAGGGGTATACCGTATATACTCGTGCATAAGCTGAGTTTTTCAGCACATTTTAAATGCCGTTTTTGTGGCAACATTTGGTGCCTTGGCTGCTATTCGGGTCGGCTTATACTCGAGTATATAAAATACTAAAAGACTCTATGTACATTGGGACACTTTTCACAATAGCCAAAAGGAAAAACAACCAAAATGTCCATCAGCAGATGAATGATAAACAAAATGTGGTGCATACTCACAATGGATTATTCTGCAGCTGTAAAAAGAAATGAAGTTTAACCCAAAAAACATTGTGTTGACTGAAATAAATCCACTGTAAAAGGTCAAGTATTATATGTTCTCACTCACAGAAGAGACACAAATCTATAGAACCAAAGATTATTAAAGACTACCAGGAATGTAGAGGGAGGAGGGAATAGGGAGTTTTTGTTTAGGGAGTGTGGTAGTTACCTAATCTGGTGTCAATTTGAGGATTAAGAGTGTAGGGGTGGAATCCAGCCTGTCTATCCAGAGATAGCCAATGAGACCTGTGTGTGGGCATGGCCTTCTCCTGAGAATTCTGGGAACTGCTGATTTTCCTCCCTGGAGACGGGAGACACACACTCTCTCTCTCTCTCTGCTGATTCCCTGCGAGACATCCCTGAGGAGAAGCCACATGGAAGTACCCTGATGTAGCCCTGGAAGCTGGAGAAGCCACGTGGAGACCCCTGCCAGCGCTGAAATGCTTACAATGCCACTAGATCCAAAGACTTTCTACCCACTGGCCCGTGATTGTCCTGCACTCAGAGTCATTGCATGTGTTTTGTGAGTCTGAAGAGGAATTTATAGATTGGTATCAGACATATGGGCTAATATTGGACTTATGGGCTTGGACTGAACTGGGTGGGGATGCTTTCTTAATGTACAATTACCCTTTATATAAAACTCTCTCTTATACACACAAGAGTTTCTATGGATTTGTTTCTCTAGTCTACCTGGACTAACACAGGGAGCATGGAGTTTATGTTAATATTAGTGGAATGTTTTAGATGAGGGCAAGTTAAAATGGTGACATGATATTAAAAATGTTATTCAGCTGTTATTATGACAGTTTTGTTGGTAGATGTTAAGTCTGTATATCCTTAGCACAATAAAAAATTAGTAAAATCAATGCTAGAAGAGTAATTCATCACGTTATTTTTTATCTTATTTTAACAGTTTTACTGATAATGCCCATACCATACAAATAACTGGTTTAGCATATTAAAAAGAGCTATGCAATGTATTTAAGTTATTCATGTATTTAGATGCTAAAAGGAAAGGATAATCCCTGAGGGCCACATTTGTGGGATGTCTCTGAACATGAACTTCTTGAGACACAGTGTTTTGGCAGGTCTAAACAGTTAGGGCTCTAGAGATGAAATCATCCTAGGTTTAGACAAAACCAAGCCAACTGCCATCAAGTCAGTTCCAGCTCACAGTGACCCTAGAGGTCAGAGGAGAGTATTTTGGTTTCTGAGGCTGTTTATGGGAGTAGAAAGCCTCGACTTTCTCCCATGGAATGGCTGGTGGGTTCAAACTGCTGACCACGTGGGGAGAAGTCAACAGGTAGCCTACTAAGTCATAAGGGCTCCTCTAGGGTTCAGAGTGGGCTCTCAATTCAAAGACATGTATCACTGTAAGAGGACAGAGCAGTGTGATACAGGAAGAACGTCATGCAACCATGGAGGCAAAGTCTGCTGCCACAGCCAAGTCACACAAGAACAACCAGAAGCTGGAGAAGACAGGTAAGGATTGTCCCCGAGGTTTTCGAAGGAACAGAACTTTACATACACCACACTTTCCAATGACTAGTCCTCAGACATGGGAGAACATAAATTTCTGTGGTGTTAAGCCACCATGTTTGTGTTGGAGCAGCCTGAGAAACTAATATAATAACTCACATGCATGTAAAAGGGAATATAATCAGATTTATTAGAAGATGGAGAAAACAGTAATACTTCATTTGGTATAGTTTCATTATTTCAAAATGTCTTTTAGAAAATTTGGAATGGCTAGGGGGAAAATTAGAAGTTGTAGGTAAGTGCACTTAATGTCATTGAGTTTCAGCCTATGGCACCTGAATTAACAGTGGTCTAGCTAACATAAAACCTAGAGAAAACCCGGCTGTTCAGAATATTAAAATGCTGTTAGGTGGCTTCTGACACAGAGTGATCCCACATTCAACAGACGAAACAGTGAGTGCTTGGTTCGCAGGGCCCTCACAGTTGCTGGTGTGCTTGAGTGCACTGTTGTAGCCACCGTGTCAGTCCATCTCCACGAGGGTCTTGTTTTCCACTCGCCTCTACTCTACCAAGCCTTACATCCTTCTACACTGACTGATGTTACCAATACGAGATGAAGTCTTGCCCTCCTCACTCCTAAGGAGCATTCTGGCTCTCCTTCATAAAAGTATGCCAGCCAAGACAGATAGGGTTATTTTCCTGAGAGTCCATGGTAATTTTAATATTCTTCACCCACACCATCATCCATATCCTTCAACTCTTCTTCTGTTTTCTGTATTTACTGGTCCAGTTTTCACATGAACATGAGGCAGTGAACAATAATATCCTGGCTTGGGTCGGCCGCCCTTCAGTCCTCCAAGTGACCTCTGTGCACTTTAAGGAAATCATGGCAGCAGAACTCCCACTGGAGTATGGCCTTGATTTCTCGACTGCTGGCGCTCCAAGTAAAAGGAGATCCTGGATGATTTCTACGTTTACCATGATGCTGCTTATTAGTTTAGTTGTATTTTTATTTTTTGTACATTGAGGGATAATCCATACCGAAAGCTGTAGTCTTTAATCTTTTATAATTAAGTGTGTCAAGTCTTCTTGGCTTTCAGCAAGCAAGGTTGTGTCATTTGCAAATTCAAGTGGAGTGCTCTAAGGAGACCTTGTGGCGTAATGGATTCCTTGGTAGCGACTGTGAACTAACTGCAAGGTGAGCAACTCAAATTCACCAGCAGCAACGTGGGAGAAACACAAGGCTTTCTCTTCCTGTAAAGATTAGCCTTAGAAACATGCAGGGTCAGTCCTACTCTGTGGTGGAGCCATGGTAGGCTATTGTTAACCATAGGTCAGCAGTCTGCCCTCCCTACAGGTCGGTGTGCTACTCTGCCCACACTCCATCCTTATTGCCAATGTGTTCTCGCCTTGGTCTTTTCTCCTCTCTTTTTTGACCCGCAACATAAACCAAACGTCCAACTGTCCTTTAAATGGAATTCGGGAGAATTATTATTTCTTTTGATCAGAATATTATATATTGATCCAAGTATTACATAATTTTACACACACATCTTTTAAAAGTTTTACTGCTTTCTCTAAAAAGAAAATGGAATTGTTTTTTAAGAACAATAACCCTAACTGAATCCTGTCAAGAAATATGATTAGGTAGACATCATTTTTTCAGTAAAACTCTTAAATCGTAACAAACAATAAACTCTCAAGTTGAATATAAAGGTTTTCTAGTCAAAATAGAAAAAAATTAAAGCATTTTAGAAAGCACATTACAAAGACTGAAGCTTTCATTACCTGAGGAATACAAATAGGTATATATGCATGCTTATTACCTTCTTGAGTTAAGTAATACATGTTCTCAGCAATTACAGCACTCTTATCTTGGGAATCCAAGAAAAAGAAAGTAGCAGAATCTTCAACATCAGCAGTTACTGAAAAATGCCATGATAAATATTAAACAAAGGATAAAATTAAAGATATACAATTTCAAAATTATTCTAGAAAAGTATATGAAATATTATTTTACCTGATGTAGGTATTAAATTAAGGTACTTTGGTTTCATGTGTAAAATCCGAGAATTTATACGGGGTACAACAGTATTTTTATCCATTAGGAAATTAATTACATTAGTTCGATCATTTAACGCACCCTGAAATAACAAAAATATCATTTCGATAATATAGACAAGTGGTATATATGTTTTAAAATTTAACAGAGAATACGTAACGAAATATAAGCTAATGATAATAGATAATTCTGGATTCTTGCTACAAATTTTCTGTAAAAAAAATTTCTCCTCAATTAATCCCATTTTTAGATGCACATGTAAAGAAGATAATTTAATTAATATTTTAAAATCACTGTTTATTACTAGAATAGAACTTTTTATTCAATGTTTTTCTATAAAATAAATTGTTAATATATTACCACTTACAAACATTATTCATTGTATATTTTTATTAAGTTTACTTACCGTAAAAACTTCTCTTTGTAAATATATACATGTATCCATCATTCTGTGAAAAACTGCCATTTCTAGATTCTTAAAATCCATTTCATCATGTTTGAAGGGCAGACCATTATAAAGAACTTGAGGCAAAGGACCCAGACCAGTCATCTTATAAAAGCTTGCTCCTACCTATTCAGTTAAAAATGATCAGAGTTAAGTGGCTTGTACAAAACGAAATACATGAGAACTTCCCATTTTTAATATGCGATTGAAAAGAATTTCAACTTGTTAATTTTATCTGTCCTTTCCATGTATCAAGGCGCCATGGTGGTACAGTGGTTATCTGTTTGGCTGCTAACCACCAGGTCAGCAGCTGGAAACCACCTGTGGCTCAGCGGGAGAAAGATGGGGCTCTTAAAGGAAACTCCCAGGGCAGCGCTCCCCGCCCGATGTGGCTTCTCGGAGCTGGCACTGACTTGACAGCAGTGAGTGAGCTGAGGGGGTTCCACGTGTTATTTAAATGGAAACACCTTATTTACATAAGGAGTCCTTAGGGTGCGCCAAGTTTAGCATCAGGTTGCTAACTGCAATAAAGTTAAAGTATTTTTAAAAATCTGAAACACAAAAACAAACAACAAGCCCACTGCAGTCGAGTCTCTTCCAACTCATAGTGACCCTATGGAAGAGGGGGTCTCTGAGAGTAACGCTTTACAAGCGTAGAAAGCCCCATCTTCCTCCTGAGGAATGGCTAGTGGTCTCAAATGGCTGACACTGTGGTTAGCAGCGAAACAGGTAACCACTGTGCCACCAGCATTATAAAAATCCCAGGGTCAGAGCTGAAGAACAGAGAAGAATAAAATAATGAGGAACTTAAAGACCAGGCAAAAGAAACTATCAAATGAAACAAAACAGATTGAACAATTGAAAAAGGAAAATGCCCAAAGCAGTTGGGGTAAGAGGTGGAGAGGGGGTTATATGAAGTACAAAAGTAAAAAACAGCATGGATTTCTTGTCAGAAATGCGGCAAGACAGAAGATAATGGGAGATCATCTTGAAGAGCTAAAATAGGGAAAAGGTGACAAGTTAGACAATATTATAACATGTAAAAATGAAAATAAAACAGCCTTGCCCCCCTGCCCCCCAGAAACAAGAGCTGAGAAACCTACTAGAAAAGCTACACTACAAGAAACGTTGTAAAAAGGAAAAATAAAAGCACCAGGTGGAAACCTAAATCCATAAAAGGAATGCAGGCTACAGAAATGGTAAATGTGCAAAAAATGTGTCCATAAAAAAGGAAATAGATCTTATCCTCATTTTACCAATAGCAGTAAAGTATATATATCGCTGCAAATCGTGTGCACATCAAAAACAGTAATGGTGTTACTAAGCCTAAGCCAATAAATTTGATGATCTCAATGAAATATAAATTTCTTGAAAGAAGCCAATATAACAAGAAATAGAGAACCGCAATAGCCCTGTAGTAAGGAAAGAATTTAATTGCAATAAAAAAATCTCCCATAAAGAAGACTAAAGATCCAGGTATATTCCCTGGTAAATTCCACTAAGTGTTTAAGGAGGAAATAATACAAATTCTCTAACAATACATTTAGAAAGGGGAAACATATACTTCTAACTCATTTATGTTGCATCTTTACATTATTATGATATAAAGAAACCAAAGAAATTTAAAAAATGTCTATGAAATAAGATGCAAAAAGCCTTAATAATTTATTAGCAAACTGAATTTAGCAATGTGTAAAAACAGAACACATCATAACTAAGGAAATTTTATCCAGTTTATAACAAGTGACCTAATGTTTGAAAACCAATGAATCTGAGTCATCACATAACAATAAAGAAGGGAAAATATGATATTGTAAACCAATGTAGAAAAGTATTGATGGTGACTTCCAGCAAGATGGCGACCAGACAGGCACCCATGCTGGGAGCTCCGTGAAGACCCTTGAGTAGGAAGATTAGGCGGTCCAGTGGGGGATCGAGGCTGTCGGTTAATCTCCCTGACACACCAGAGCGCTTCCCTAAATTGGTAACTGACTTTCACCCCCTCAACTACACCTGCTGTAGAGTCTTGGGGACCAGCTCCCTGGTGCAAGGGCTGCCCCAGCCTGTGTAACTTGTGTTGCTGAGGATCCCACCACGGCAACTACCCGGTTGTTCACCTGCACCCTGGCTGCGGCGCCCCAAGCTCACCAGTTGCTCAGGGAAGGCTCTTACAGCTGTGGTCTGACTCCCCAAACAGGTGCAGTTTGCATGTGGCTTTCCCTGCCATGCCCAGGACTATCACTATGCCCATTGGAGGCTGTCTCTGCTGCGACCTTCAGAGCGGGGCCTCCTCATACTGTGCCCGGAGCACTCCCAAACACAAGAGTGTGTCTTCTCCCACTGTGCCTGATGCTCTCCAGCCATCAGCGTGTAGAGCTGACAGCCGCCGTTGGAGCCTCCCTCCCACCTGGCCATGGTGCCTCTAACCGCAGATGGACTCCCCAGCCCAATCCCCGCACCCCCACCCAGCATCTCATGCTCCTATGCCCAGACCCACACGTATCCGAACTGCAGCCTCTGCCACGGCAACTAGAGTCTGTCAGCCGTCCGAATGTGGCTTCCACGGCTGCAAATGGACTCCTATGCAAGACTGAGTGTTCAAACACAATGTAAGTGTAGTAAGTCTGATGACAATGCAGTCTGACCGTAGTGCCTTATGCTTTACAGGGCCACCCAACCCGTCCTCCGAACAACGGTATCCCAGTAGGCTAGGCTGAGAGGGAAACCCCAGTGGGTCAACGTGGTAGCATGACCCCCCAGCGCAGACATCTACACACAGTCTGCAGAAGCATTCCTACCAGCCTCCCAAAGAGCGAGCCCAGGGCTCTTTGACTCCCTATAAAATGACACTGAGCTCCTCCAAAATGACACACAGATAGCAACCAGCCACAACGACCTCAACCAAAAAAAAACAACAACAAAAACCCAACAACAACAACCAGGAGAAACAAAATTCAATATTGTAGGAAGCCCTAAACCTAGCAACATGAATAGAAGTTGATCTACCACAGGAAAAAAATATCTTCAGAATGCTGCTTGGAATCTTACAGGATATGATGGAAGCAATACAGCAAAAGGATGAAATGACAGATGAGATAAAGGCCTTAGACCAAAAGGAAATATAAGAGTTAAGAGATGAGGTAACAAAAGCAAAAAACAAGTTAACAGACTTCACCAAAAGCCTAGAAGAAGCAGATAACTGTACCAGTGACCTTGTGGATAACCAGGCAGACTTCAATAATAGGTAAAGACAGTCAAACAAGATAATCAGAGAAGCTGAAGAAAACTCGAGAACAATGTCTGATGCAACATTAAAATAATTGGATTACCAGAACAAGACACAACAAAGAAGTCAATGGCAAAAAATAGAGAGGGAATTCCTAGAGGAAAACTACCCCAGCTCAATGAATGAGAATCCGACAATCATTCAGGAAGCAGAAAGAACACACCAGCTAGACGGAATCCCAGGAAGAATTTGCCAAGGCATATAATAGTTAAACTATCCAACGTTGATGAAAAAGAGAAAATGATAAGAGCAGCTAGAGGAAAAAAGGCTGTCACCTATTAAGGTACCCAAATAGGGATATGCTTAGACCTATCAGCAAACACCATGCAGAAGAGAGGAGTAACACCTTCCGAAAAATGAAAGGAAACAATGCAAAACTAAGAATCCTCTACTCAGCCAAATTATCCATCCAGATAGATGGAGAATAAGAATCTTTTCAGACAAGGAACAACTCAAAGAATACGATAAAAGAAACCCAGCTCTACAAAAAATTCTTGCCCACCCAGTTTGGTCAGAAGAACAACACCTACCCAGCACAAATAAGAGACTACCACATAAAGTAACTGCACCCAGAGGGCAACACATCGAAAACAACCTGAGATAACACTGGCAAAACTGTGAGAAGAAGGCAAGAACGAACCCTTCACACACTTGCACAATGCACTGATAAAAAGGGAGGTAGGAAAACGGAAAACACGAAAGGTACAAGATGACAGGACTACTAAAACCTAGGTGTGGTAGTTACATAATCTCATGTCAACTTGAAGAGATGGAGTCTAGCCTGTCGATCAGGTCACAGCCTGAAGATACCTCCTTGTGGATGTAGCCTTCTCATAAGGATTCTGAGAATTTCCTCTCTTCCTCCCTGGAGGCAGGATGCACTCTCTCTGCTTCACCTTCTTATAGAGGAGGCAGGTGGAGACTCAGAACCAGCGTTCAGACGCTTCCACCATCATTGGATCCACAAGACTTTTACCTACCACCCTGTCATCTTTCCGCATTCTGCATCATTGCGAGTGGTTGTGTGAGTCTCAACAGGAATTTATAGACAATTTATAAGCTAGTATCAGATATATGGGCTAATATCAGCCTTAAGGATGTTGATCTGGAGCAGGCTGGGATGTTTTCTTAATATACAATTACTCTTCCATATACAGCTCTTTTCTACACATACGTGTCCCTGGATTTGATTCTCTAGTTAACTTGGCCTAACACATTAGGCGAGTCTCACAGACGGAATCAGCACAGCTGAGATCCTAATTGGGTTTTCAGCCTCCATAATGTATGACAATAAATTCCGTAATTTAAAGCCGTCCACTTGTATTTGTGTTATAGCTGCATTAGGAAAGTAAGACACCATTCCTCCCTTATTTTAGTTCCTTTTGTATTCAGCATGTATCCTACAGCGCTTAATTCATCTTCTTATTTGTTGGGCTTCTTTCTATTAATGCCATGTTGAACTTATAAATGTCATTCTTAGGATGCTTTATTTAATTATCTTCTTTATTTCTACCTTTGGGCATTTTGGACTTGCTATAAAAATGACAACGTAAGAGACTGATACCCTTGCAAATTTATAGTAAGAATATAAGCAGAAATTCTGGCATCGTATTGCAGCTGTTATGTACCATTGAGCCATGTTTGAGTCACAGAGCTCCAATGGGGCCAGACTAGAACTGTTCCGTAGGGTTTGTAGAAGTCTTGGAAGCACAGAGGGTTACACCTTGGGCTGCTAACTGCAATGTCAGTAATCTGAAATGACCAGTTGTTCTAATGGAGGACGATGAGGCTGTCTAAAACGAGAAAGATTTACAATATTGGAACCTCAAAGGCACACAGTTTTATACTACCCTTTAGGGTCACTATGAGTCAAAATCGACTTGATGACAGTGGGTTTTTGTGTTTAGTAGTTGCCAGGTTGTAATATCTACAGAAGCACACTGTAACACCATTTTCTCATAAAACGGCTATAGGCAGGCAAACACTTAACCACTGGGCTACCAGGGTATCTTATTTCAGCATGGTAGAAATTCTTCAATATTATCTTACTTTAGTTACTTTTCTAGAGTCTTGAGAGGAATAATTTCCCACACACCATTGCTCTCTTGAAGTTCCATCCACACGCCCTCGCTCTCAAAGAATAGCCTCACATCCTTGTTACTAGTTGGTGACCGCATACTGTGCTCCGCTCACTGTGCTGGGCATTGGGTCCATAATATTCCACCAGATAGAAATGGTTCCTGCACTCAAGGGACTTAAGAGCCCGGTGGGAAGGCAGATATTGAATCATTACAGTATATTTAGTATCATCAAAGACCACAGAATACTATGTTAGCATTAAATGAAGCAAACCAAGGTAGTTCGGAGGATTAGGAAATGCTTCTCAGAGAAAGCAACATTGAAACTAGGAGCACGGTAAGGGTAAGGTCAAGCATTAAGAAAAGAAAGGAGGCTTCCACAGGCATTGAAGTGCCAAGTGTGAAATCGCTCAGTTAGGAAGGAGCTCCATTCATTCAAGAACTTCAAAGAATGCCAGTCCGGTTGAAGCAAAAATAAGAAAAACAAGTGGTGTAACATGAAGAAGAATTAAAGAGACAAATCTTGTGGGGCTTTCAATCTGCTAATCATTTTGAACTTTACCATAAAAGCCATGGGAGATAAATGACGGTAATTACACATAAGAGTGGCAAGATCCTATGTGCTTTATAAAAAGTCCTATGAGCCGGTCCCAACCAGAGTCCAACTGACCCCCTCACTAGAAGTAACTGCTACAGAGGACAAGACTAAACTTACAGGCTGGGTAGAGGGGCCAGCCTGCCACATCCACATGGAAGGAAACCAAGAAGGAAAAAGAGAGAGTGAGGTTCTAGATCCCATATCACACACCAAGCCCTAAGGACGATATCCCTGCCCAGAGCTGCTAAGGCAGAGAGGACTGTAGGGCTGACAACAACTGGAGACATGATGATCCCTCGCTGGAGCATACCCCACAGAGGACAATACTGGGGACACATGGCGGGGAGTGAGTCCAGTCTGAACCCCCCACAGTATGGCCAATCAAGAAAGGAACATAACAGATCCGCAACGGAAGCAAAACAAAGCCACAAGGCCCCTGAGGAGCCCTCCAAATAGACTAGGAGGGGCAGTTCCTGAAACCCCCCAGAACCAGTGAGGAGATAGGAATAAATGTCAGTGGAGAGACCTGTAATTATTTATAGTCTTTCTGGTAATTTTTTTGTTAGGTATTATTATTTTTCTTTATATATATTTTTCAATTCCTTTCTTTCTTTTTATTCGATTTTTTGTTTTCTTTTGTATTGTCTACTTTATGGTTGGTTTGCTCACCTATGTGAGAGGCATGGGAAGCAAGCCCAAGGAGGAAGCAATAAAACCAAAGGTTCCGGAGGGACTTTGGGGGAGGAGGGGGCTGGGGAAGGGAGCAGTGAGCAAACAAAGCCATCCACAGGGGAACAACTAGGGAATTAAATCAACAACGAGGAGGACACAGAGCTCCTGGGGGTGTCGAAGCAACAGCAGTTTAGCTGAGAGAATTACTAAGAGGCAGAAGAAAGGCGAGGGTGATGGCGGGAAAGGAAGAAGGGAAAAGGAAACAGGAAAGATCTAGGAAGAAAAGATAGGGATAGAGGTATAAACATAGGTGTGCACTTATGTAAATATATTAATTTATAAAAATAGAGGTATTAGCATAGGTACATATCTTTAGATGTCAATACATCGAGTAAGTGGACGGACTTTGGGCTGCTTAAGGCCTCACTCAACGCACTAACATTTTCCTCTAACAACCTGGTGTTCTGTGACGCTCACTCTCCCGCCACAATCGCTGAAGACAAAATGGGTACACAAGCAAATGTGAAGAAAGCTGATGATGCCAGGCTATCAAAAGATATAGTGTCTGGGGTCTTAAACAAGCGGCCATCTAGCAGAGAAGTAACAAACCCACGTGGAAGAAGAACACCAGCCTGTGTGATCACGAGGTGTCAACAGGATCAGGTAATATGCATCAGAAGACCTCAAACAAACAAAAAAACCCCCACATATTGTTGAGAAAGAAGGGGGTGAGAGCGGAGACCCAAAACCCATCTGTAGATAGCGGGACATCCTCTCCCAGAAGGATCACATGGAAAGGATGAGTCAACCAGGGTGAAGTACAGCACTGATGAAACACACAATATTCCGCTGGTTCCTTGAGGCTTCCTCACCCCCATTATCATGACCCCAGATCTGCCTTTCAGTTCTGCCTAGACCAGAGAATGTACACTGGTACAGATAAGGGCTCAAGACACATGGACTCCAGATCAGATGAACCCTTCAGGTACAAAAATGGGAGTAGCAATACCAGGAGAGTAGGGGGGAAGTGGAAAGAGGAGGGGGGAAGAAACGTGGGGGAAGGGAGACACCGATACCAAGGATTCATAGAATGTAAATGCTTAGAAAATAATGATGGCAACATATGTTCAAATATGCTTGATACAACTGATGTATGGATTGTTATAAGAGCTATGAGAGGCCCCAAGAAAACGATCTTAAAAAAAGTCCTATGAAATAAAAAAAATATTTATAAAACTATGGCTCATATTAATCTTACGAATTCAAAAACAATGACAAGTACTTTCCAAAGTTTGGTTCTTGTCCTAGAATTCACTTAAAAGTCTGTTTTCCATTTCTTACTTCCTAAGAATACACACTGGGCTGTTTAAAATTCTAGAGCTCATACTCTGAACTCAGACAATTATGTTTTTTGGGGGGGTCTTTTAAAAACAGTCAAGTGCTGATTTTAATACTTCATACAGATTGGGCCATTCAAAAGTCTAATGTTTTCCTTATTAGAACAAAAAAAAAAAACCCCAACTAAATCACGAACAAATTGTACTGAAATGATTCTAGTTATGAGATCATACTAAATGTTTCTAAGATTTTACTTTTGAAAATTTTATCCCAACTTACCTGTCTGTCTCCATCATATTTTGAGTGGATTCCCAAAATATCTTGAACATCAGCATGAGGAAATTTATCCTGAAGAACACTCTTCACAATATCCACAGTGAGTATATTTTGATTATTCACTTTTTGGTACATCTGTGGAGATAAAGTTATCGTAATTGATTTTAATCTAATTATAATCTGTTTCCTTATATTAAGTAGATAAATGTATAAAATGTTAATGTATTCCACATGCTTAAAAATGAGAGTATAATATATACATTCTCTACATGTATATCCATACTTACATAAAATAATTCTAACCACACAATGTATCCTTTAATTAAGGAGTTCATTGATGGTGGTGGTTGTAGTGGTGTTATATGTGTGAATATGGGCCTTGGTGTTGCTTTGGGGTAGGTACTGGGCTGCCAACTGCAAGGTTGGCATTTTAAACTCACCAGCTGCTCTCTGGGAAAAAGACAAGCCTCTCTGTTCCATTACAAGGTTAATCTCAGAAACCCTTTATAGCATCGCTATGAGTTAGAATAGGTTCAGTAGTAGTAGCGGCAGTGGGTATGTCTTTCAGAAATACAAAAAGTTTATTACTATATTCTATTTTGGCCAAAGTAGACACTGTTGAACCTGACTATATTTTAAATATATAAAATATTTAAAAATAATTTACTTCAGAAATGCTTTTTTATTTCTGATTGATCTGCAAATATCTGGACTTGATTTTCTCTGTAGTTCTACTCCTCTACACATTATAAATATTCTAAATATACTTGTATAACATAAGCTATTTTTCTCATTCTTTGTTAAAAAATTTCTTTATTGTATAAGTAGTTATAGATTCTTTAGTATAGCCCGGGCACTTTTCTATGCACTAGGGGTAAAGACAAACTTTGAGCCAATAAAGAAGGGATCTCAGAACAGATGACTGAACAAGACTGAACCAAGATATAAATATGAGCATCAAACTAGCTATTAAGGTATTCTGGGGGAAGAATTTTCCAAGGAGAAATAGGAAGCACGAGAATCTTTAGGCAACAGTTTGACATGCAGCATTTTCAGTACCAATTTACTTGCATTATTATTATTACTAGAGACCCTCCTTACTTTATGTCTGTCAGAATCTCCCTATTTTTTTTTTTTTTAAGTGTGTAAAGGATTTTATTTTGGAGGAGGTGAATCTGTCTTTTTTTTTTAAAATCAATTTATTGGGGCTCATACAGAATCTCCCTATTATAATAAGAGTTTTCAAACATTTTTTATTGCGGCTCTTAGGTGCTATTGAGAAGGTTCTAACTTACAGCGATTCTGTGGACAGCAGAATGAAACCCTGCCTGATGTTGTGCCAACCTCACAATTGGCCTTTTGAGCTTCTTGTTGTGGCCACCGTGCCAATCTGCCACAATGAGGATCTGCCTCTTCTCGTTGACCTTCTATGCCACCGAGCATGCTGTCCTTTCCCAGGGAACGGCGTCTCCTGAGAACATGTCCACAGCACGTGAGAGGAAATCTTGGCAAGCTCGTTTGAGGAGCGTCTTCTTCTGGCAGCTCATGTTCAATCTTCTAAACCACACCGTAATTCCAAAGCCTCAATTCTTTTCCGGTCTTCCTTATACATGTTCCAACTTTAACATGTTTATGAGACCACTGAAAATACCATGGCTTGTGACCATCAGACAGACCCTGGCCCTGAAAATGACATCCTTCATCTTCAACATTTTAGAGGTCTTGTGAATCAGAAGTGTTCAACGAAATAGAGCATCTGAAAAGTTTGTGGACAAATATAACAAAAAGATAATGGGATTCTTCCATAAACCTTTTGAAACCCCCTCATATTATTCTTCATAGCAAGGAATTAGCATTCTTTTTTTGCTCTTCCTTTATCACTGTAAAGGATATTCCTTTATTCCACTGTAATCTATTCCTTTAAGAAGAGGAAGATATTTGTAATTAGAATATAGAGGCCAGTTTTAAGTGTCTCAATCTGGGGGCAAGTTTTCTTCCACTCATATTAAAGCAGAACATATTTCCTACTTTGTAATGAGCCACTTTAAAATTTTTTTATTAAATACTTTTATTGGGGGCTCTTACATCTCTTATTACAACTCATACATTCATCCACTGTGTTAAGCACATTTGCATGTATGCAACCATCATCATTTTCAAGGCATTTTTTTCCTCTAGTTGAGCCCTTGATAACAGCTTCATAATGAGCCACTTTTACATTCACGACGGTCTTTTGACATCCATAAATACCAAAGCCTTATTAACTGAATGAGACAACAACTTTAGTCTTCTGTAAAATATAACTAAAAACAGTCTTTTTGAATAAAGAAAAGGGTCCCTTATAAGGAGTCTTTGACATAAAATATTTTACCCTACTGAAAATTTATAAAACAAAGTAGCCAGAAAATCTTATATAAGATACTTTTTAACAACGATTTGGTCTTTCTAATCTTTTTATTTTAAAAAATCATATTAAATAAGAAGAAGCACAAATAAATATATAAAACATGCTATAAAGTAACATTTTATATTAAATAATAAAAAAAGTTCTAAGTTAAATAATAAACTGAACAATATATATTAATAAAGTATACACATAAGAAATAAAACATCCCCAATACCATTGAAGTTATTTAGGTATATCCTCAGATGCAAGCTTTATTTTTAATTTCATTCCCCTTTTAAATTCTAGAGCTTTATATCTATTCATGAGGGTGTGGTAGTTATATCATCTGCTGTCAATTTGAGAGGATTAAGAGTGAAGGGGTGGAGTCTATTCTGTCAATCATTGTATAGCCAATGAGGCCTCTTCGTGGACATGGCTTCTGGGATTTCCTGTATTTCTTCTTTGGAGGCAGGAGACACTTTCTTCTCTTGGCTCACTCCCTGAGAGACACTCTATTGACAAGACACATGGCACTACGCTGATAGACTCCTGTGCCCTGGGAAATGGAAGAGCTACATGGAGACCTCTGCCACTGCTGATATGCTTACAACGCCACCGAATCCACAAGACTTCCAACCCACTGGCCTGTGATCTTCCGGCATTCTGTGTCATTGCATGTGTTTCGTGAGTCTGAAGAGGACCTTATAGATTGGTATCGGACATTTGGGCTAATATCAGACTTCTGGACTTGATCTGGACTTGGCTGGGATGTTTTCTCAATATTCAATTGCTCTTGTATATGAAGTTCTTTCTTATACACATATGAGTCTCCCTGGATTTGTTTCTCTAGTCTACCCAGACTAATACAGCGGGTAAATAAAAAAGTATAGTTTCACGGCCTATTCTTTTTAATGCATGTCTTTTTCTCATTAAAAAAAAATCCTTATGGTGGTATTCTCATATAATATTTGTCCTTTTGTGCTTTCTAGTTCCATTCATGTCATGAAGTGTTTCATCACTGCTTTTATGGATGCTGGGGAGTTGCTACTAAAGTCCTGACATTCAGCGAGGCCTCTTCTACCTCTAATTAGGAATCCAACCTCGCAGCCTTGTGTACTTACTAGTACTTACTTGCTTCCAGTTTTGCAGTAGTGGCTTTCTTCTCAGTAGTTATTGGTCCCGCCTCAAGACGAGTCGACCTAATCACTTGCAGCTTAACACGTAATTAAACAGGGAGAGTCCTTAGCTAGATTTTTGGAATTTCTTCTCCGCATCTCCCCGTGTGCCCTGGGATTTTGCCCTACAAGTCTTGTCACTGCATAGTCTTGAATCCCATCTCAGTCTCTTAGCTCAGAGACCACACTGGTTGCTTGAGGTTTCCTGCACTTCTGCAATTCCGTCAAAGCATCCAGGCAGAAAGAGAACTCCATTGTGAAACTCACTTCCCTTCACTTTGTTTTTTGCCCAGTTTTATTCTGCTGTGAGGCAGCCCACTGCCAGTTAGTCCATCACTGTTGAAAGTGAAGTCTGAAAGTGTATTTATATTTGTAATGATGCTGTCATCAAGTAGTCACTAAGAAAATTCTTTTAAAAAACTTAATCTTGTAAAGTAGGGAGGGACAAAATAGTTTTTAAACTTATACAGCCATTGTTCAGTAGAGCTGGCATACAAAAGTCAGATTATTTTACCAAGAATGTTTTTTCTATCAGAGTTCTCTATTAAATACTCTATTAAACACCAGTGATTTTCATATACCTATTGACTACTTTGTATTCCTCCTCTTTCCTGATACTGTTTTTTAAAAATTCTTAAATTCGGGTAACATAATTTGGTCAAATAATGTAGTTTTTAAAAAGATGTTTTAATTCATTCATTTTACTAAAAAACCTTTTACTTGAATAATTTTAAATCATTGCGGCTATACAGTTACTGAGTTTTAACTATATTCACATTTTGAACATATTTAACTATATTATCTAGAAGAGAATCCACTGTCAATAGAATGCTAGCGCCACACTTTTGTTATTTTTAATGGGCTCTGTGGCTATAGAGATCTTGGGTCATGGCATATATGGCTTGAGTAATCATTAACTTTCTCACCCTCACACTCCAAGTCAGTGTTTCCCAAAGTGGGTGACATCACCCCCTAGGATGCACTGGGAAAATCCAAGGGAGCTGCAATAGCTTATCCTCGACTATGGGCTAGAGTCAGAAGTTTTTAATTGCGGGGGTCTCTGAGTAAATTGGGTTTTGTTTTGACAAGGTGACGGGAGGCCAAATATGTCTGTGTACCTATGCTTCCAGGGACTCTAAGAGGCTTTCTCTAACTATTCCTTCCTTGTTTACTTCTCTTGCTCTCTCTGGCCCTTGGTATCAGCTCCCTATTTATTCCCCTCCCTCCCCCCGTCCCCTTCCTTCATAAACCCTTGATAATTTATAAATTATTATT